TGGCAGGAGAACAATTATTCTAATTTCTAATTATTGATGAATTTAAGAGTTTCCTCTTCCTAAATATTTTAAATATGTTTTGCAGTACTGTACTAATATATGATCTTTAATAAAGAATCCCATCAGACTGCAATTGAGGGAAAAGAGATTTGCAAATTTTGTAACCATGTATTCCTTTGTACACAAATAAAATTTATATTATAAATCAATAAAAGGCAAATTCATTGCTTTTAGGAAAATAGTAGCAAAATATACATTTTATACATTTCATGTATCATGTTTAAAATATACAGAGTTTTCATGATAATCATTTGTTAATAACTTTGAATCTCACTATATTTTGGGCAAATTTGTTCCTAAAAGTTAAGTGAATTTCTATTTAGAACAGAGATTAAACATGTTTTCAAGACAGTTTTAAAAGCATTATTATTTCACATTCATTAGTTACTTTAAGACATATTTTCAGGGATTATGTACGAGGCACAATGCTGGATAATACAGGAACCTAAAATGAATCAGGCTGACTTGGCAACTGAGAAATTCAACTGTAACTATTACCTGGACAGTAGCTTATATTAAGGAATATCATTAATTACCTTAGGTATAGAAATGATAGTTAACTTCTAGTAATATGTACTTAAGTATTTACAGATAAAAGGATAATATCTGGAATTTACTTCAAAATATTCAGCGTGGTAGGAATGAAGTAGATAGGATACTAGTGGTTGGTAATTGTTGAAGGTGGCTGAGGGATGTGTGAGTTCATTGTGCAACTCTCTAGTTGTATGCTTTAATATTTCCATTATATATAGTTTTATTCATTTTAAAATTAATTAATTAATTAATTAATTAATGTGACGCAGGCTGGAGTGCAATGGGATCCTCCCAGCTTACTATAGGCTGGGCTCAAGTGATCCTCCTGCCTCAGTCTTCCAAGTTGCTGGAACTATAGGCACCCACCACTAAGCCTGGCCCATTATGACAACTTTTAATCAAAAGTGATTGAAGAATAATCTAGAGAGGGAGATAAGACATAGGAAAAAGCACAAGACCCCATATGTGGGGCACATGCCCTCGGCAGCTGTGTGGGTGCCCCCAGGCGCCTCTTAGCTGGTGGGGGGTCAGGTCAGAGAAATGGAGATGTGATTGTTAAACTGAGCCTCAGACAGAGATCATGCAGACTGTGAAGACGGGAAAATGGGCAGTGTGCAGAGCACAGAGGTCAGGCTCGCGCAGACTGTGAAGACGGGAGAAGGGGCAGTGTGCAGAGCACAGAGGTCAGGCTCACGCAGACTGTGAAGACGGGAGAAGGGGCAGGGTGCAGAGCACAGAGGGCAGGCTCGCGCAGACTGTGTAGACGGGAGAAGGGGCAGTGTGCAGAGCACAGAGGTCAGGCTCTCGCAGACTGTGAAGACGGGAGAAGGGGCAGTGTGCAGAGCACAGAGGTCAGGCTCGCGCAGACTGTGAAGACGGGAGAAGGGGCAG